ACCTTTTCAAGTTTAATCACATAGAGGTCATGATACTATTCACCAAAATCCATCTCTCTCTCTCTCCTTCCATCTCCTCTTTCTCCTTCTCTCACCCCTCCTCCCTCTTCTACACAAGTCCTCTCTGCTCCTTCCTTCTCTCCTCCTTGCCTTCTATCTCTGCATCTTTCAATGAATATCTATTGTGGTGGTGCACCATCCATTTTGTAAAAGGAAAAAATCATTTTCTTTCCTCACTCTCCATGCTGTGCTGGGCAAGAGTAACCCAGCCCTCTAGAAATAGAGGTAATCATGGAATTAAGCTCTTGGCAATGAAAACAGGACATCCATTCTCATAATCACAGCGATTTGTGTAGTGCAAGTGAACTAGCCAGGCTAATAATATTCAATCCCAGGAGTGCTACCTCAGTGTCAGAAAAGAGGCCCCCTTTCTGCAAGGGTCTCTAACCTACAGCTTCTGTGGACATTGCCAGTATGTGGGTAGAGCTTCACTGAGAAGCAAAGCCGGGTTGAGAGAGAATGTATGTCTGATGATGTCATTTTAACTTCTGAATTTGGCTATGGCTAAAGTCAATGTGGGGAGCTCTGGTAGCATAGTGGCTAAGACACTTGCCTGCTAACCAGACAGCTGGCGGTTCAAACCCACCAGCCACTCCTCGGAAGGAAGGTTGGGCAATCCTACTTCCGTAGTGATACTGCCTCGGAAACCAAGGAGGGGTCGCTATGAGTCAGGGCTGACTCGACAGCACATAACAACAACAACAACAAAGTCAATGTAAAAATAATAATAATTAAAAAAACCCAAACTTGCTGCTGTAGAGTTGGTCCCGCCTCATAGTGACCCCTCCTGGGGTTTCCAAGGTGGTATCTCTATGGAAGCAGATTCCCGAGTCTTCCTTCCGAAGAATGGCTGTTAGATTTGAACCACAGCCTTCAAATGCCTTAGGCATTATGCCACCAGAGCTCCCCAAAGTCGATGTATACATTGTAATTTAATTCATATGAGTCAAATTATTGTTTTATAACCACATAATTCTGCTCCCTTACCCCACCTTCTTTCTTCCTCTTATGTTTTTGAGGCAAAACAAAAATCATTAGGGTATATTATCCAAGTGGTTCCAGCAACATTCTGGCTCTTCTGTAGACAATGGATTGTAGGAGAACAAAGGTGTATGACTATTTACAAAATCTTACATTGATCTAGGTAAGATGATGGTGACTTGATCGATGGTAGTAGCAATGGAAGTAGTCAGATTCAGATTAAGTTTAAACATAGAGTTAACAGAATTTATTGAGGGGGTTGGTTGGCCATGAATATATGCTGCTGCCACTTCCTGAAACAAAGGAGATTTTAGGAAAAGTAGTTTGGGTGTTGGGAAATCAAGAGTTCTGTCCCAGACATGCTGTATTTTCAATGCCTACTAAATTGCATATCAGGGCTGCAATAAACACATATGACTCACTACCATATAGATTGATAGATTAATATTACTTTTTATATTTGTCAAATTTTGAGCTCAGTATTGTCCAGGGATTATATCTATATATAAAAGTGTCAGGTAAACCCCTCCTGACCTATTACTCTCATAATTCTGGTACCCAGAGTAGAAGAAACTTGATATGCAACAACTTTTAAAGGAATGCTGTCTTAAGTAGTTGTGTGCATTAATACGTAAAGATATTATACCGGCCATATTCTACCAAAGGGCAATGTCTATTTAAAAAGTAATAAACATTATATAAAAAAGCACAATGCAATAATCCAAAATATCTATATAAGAATTGGAGCATAGAGAAGAATGGTAGAAAATTCCAGGACATCAGTCTGGAGCAAAAAATGAGGGTAAAAGAAAGAAAGATGTAAATGCTTCTTAGAAATAATTGGAGAGATGACTAGAGTTCCTGTAGTCATACAGAGTACGAGCTAGTAATTTATTTATTGAAGGGAAAGAACTCTTAACACTGGAGAGCTTGGAACCACTCAGATAACATATGAGACAAGGAGTTGTATTTTTTAAAAGATATTTATTATTATTATTATTATTACTGTATTTGGATGAAAGTTTACAGAGCAAATTTATTTTCCATTCAACAGTCCATACACATTCTGTTCTACAACATTTACTGCAACCCCATCACTGTAATAGCATTCTTCCCACTTCCTCCCTACGCCCACCCCTTTCCTTGGTTCTTCCTTCCCATCCTGTCCCACCTTCCTAGCTCTATTCTTGGGCAAATGTTATCCTCTTAATCTCATATGCTTGATTGCTGTAATGAGTGTCTATCCTTTGGCTGCCAGTTGAGTCATGGGGTTAAGTTCAATTCCCAGCTTGAAGGCTATCTAAGGGCCATAGACTCAGGGGTTCTACCAGTCTTCACCAGACCAGTAAGCCTGGTCTTCTTTATGATCTTGAGTTTTGTTCCACGTTGTCTCCTACTCTATCCAGGACTTCTTATTGTGATGCCTTTCAGAACAGTCAGCAGTGGTAGGCAGGCACCATCTGGCTTTTCGGGTTGCAGGGTCATGGAAGCTAGGGTTCATGTGCTCTGTTAGTCCTTTTAACTCATTGTTTCCTGTGTCTTTGATTTTCTTCCCTCTTCTTTGCTCTGGAAAGACCCTCACTACTTCTAAAACCTCATCTCTTACCTCCTTCCTGTTCTCACTAGACTCTAGGTTTAATGCTTTATTGATGTTTCTAAAAAATGCCATTTTTCACATTTGCTGTTGCCTCTACCTTGGACACTCTTGTCCCATTTCTTCCCACTGTTCTCTTTCTTATTTCATACAGATCTTTCTTCAAATTTTTCATGTCTTATCTTTAAAAAACAACAACAACAACAACAACAAAAAAAAACCTTAGCCTGCTTTTTTCGAGGAGGTTCCTAACACTTATCGCTCTTCTAGATTACATACATACTTATTGTTTTATGAGTTTATAGACTATTTTCCTCACCAGAATGTAAGCTCCATGAAGGCACTTTTTCTTGTTCATTGCTGTGTATCCATAGTGCCTTGAATAATGTCTGCAAATAGTACTTAATAAATAGGAATTCTAAGTGGAATATATGCTCTATGTTGCTGTTGTTGTTATGTGCCATCAAGTCAGACCCGACTCATAGTGACCCCTCCTTGGGTTTCTGAGGCAGTATCACTACAGAAGTAGATTGCCCAACCTTCCTTCCAAGGAGGAGCTGGTGGGTTTGAACCGCCAACCTTCTGGTTAGCAGTCAAGTGCCTTAGGCACTACACTACCAGAGCTCCTATAGGATCGCATTATAAATTTTTCTCTGGAGTATAGCCATGTATCAATTATTGCCTCCTCCTGACTAAAAAAATAGTAGAAGCCCTAAGCCAGTGGTTAAAGGATACAATCTATACTTCCCTAAAGACTATCTTTCTTCCAAGTTCTGTTGATTCTTTCATGTATATGACCTTCTTGTTCCACACTGTCTGTGCCAAAATTGGTCTCTACGTCTTACAGGGCTCCAATTTATCTCGATGAAGTCATTGGTCTTTGTATTTGAATATGTATAAAAATATTTTAATATTGGCTTTATTGGCTGATTTCTGTGAAGATTTTCTTGTCAGGAATGTGCTGCAAATTACTGATTATGCATTGCCCATCCTGATGGAAGTGTTTTTTTGTTTATATCTTTCCCTCTCTTTTAATTTATTCCTTTTATTTTTTTTATCTTGATTTGGGTAAAAGTTTACAGAGAAATTGGTTTTCCATTCAACAACTCATACATATTTTGTTTTGTGGCATTCATTGCAGTCCCCACAGTGTATCAGCACTCTTCCCACGTCCTCCCTGTGTTTACCATTTCCCTTCTTCCTTGGTTCCTATCACCTCCTGCCTTATCACCTTTATCTCTGGACAAAAGCTGCCCTTATGATTGACTGTTCCAATGAGTGCATACCTTCCTGGTATTACTATTCACCTTAAAGGCCTATTATCATTGGGCTGAATGTTGAGCTGCAGGGGTTGAATTCAGTTCTCAGCTTGAAGGAAGTCTTAGGGCCACGGTCTCAGGGGTTCCACCAGTCTCTTACAGACAAAATTTGAGGTTTTTTGCACATCTTTCTCCCACTCTATCCAGGACCTTCCATTGGGATGCTTTCACAGTGGTCAGCAGTGGTAGCTGTGCACCATCTAGTTCTGGTCTTAGGGTCCTGGGGTCTAGGGTTCACAATTGTTTGGATCAATTGTTTCCTTGTATCATTGACTTTCTTCATTCTTCTTTGCTTCAGACAGGATCCCTCTCTTTTTATTATCAGGATGAATTTTTGTCTCAAGCTGGTCTAAGAGCTTGGTATCCATTAAATATACTCTACCATAATTAATTATTCATATTATGTTGCTGATAATGAAGAGGGTGGTAATATAACTCTACTGCTGGAAAGAGTGATTTCTTCATTAAAGTCCAAGCAATACATTTCCCATTTCATACTCCCTGTGTAAATCCATTTGGTATGTCCTCTGATAGAAGTAACTTAGCTGTATAATGTTTTAATAATGTAGTAACACCTTGGAAAATTAGAAGCTAATATCGAATTACTCATAATAACAGTAAATATTTCCAATATAACATGCTGTTCTAGAATCTTGTCATTCCCCTGTCAAGAGGCATAGTCTATTTCCTCAACTCCTTCAAACAGGGTGAGCCTTAGTGGCTGCCTCTGTGAATACAGTCATGGTGCCCCATGTATGCACAGTAGATCTTTGCTCCATTAGGTTTTCAAGGCAGATCACCAAACCTGCCTTCAGACCCACCTGTGGGTGGTTTCAACCATCAACCTTTTGGCTAGTAGTTGAGTGCTTAAACGTTTGTGCTATCTCCATGAGTCAGAATCACCTCACAGGCAACTAACAACAACAACACATGGATCCCATATGGCAGAAGGAACAGCGCTTGACTTTCAAAGCTAGTCATAAAAAGTGAAATGGCTTCCATCCGAAGAGCTCACTCTCACTCTCTCTTTCTCTTTCTCTCTTCAGTTTGTAGCCTAGCCATCATATGGTGAGGAACCTGTGTTGATGTTCCAGGCATGTCCCTAAGTAAGATCCTACAATCAGACGTGTGAGTGAGCAGCACTGAGGGGATTCCAAATCCCAAACTTCAAGCTGCACCAGGTGACAGCAAGTAGAGGGGAGAGCAACTGTCCCCACCACCCCAACAGCAATGTCAAAAGAAAAATAAATGTCTTAAGCTAGTAAGTTTTGAGATGCTTCCTTACATAAGAATATGTAACCACAACAACACTCTTCAGAGAAAAATAACAAAATTCAGTTTCTACAATGTCTCATTCACAATTTTCAAAATATAATACAAAATTATTAGATCTACTCAAGTGAAAATATAATCAATGAAGATTGACCCTCAGATAAGCAAGAAGATACATTTAGCAGAAAAGAATTTTCAAGTAGATGTAACTGTTCTCATGAAGTTTCAATAAAGATGCTCATAAAAAAAAAAAATTCAATAGAGAAAGATAAACTAATAAAAAGGCCCAAATGAAAAGTCTGGAACTCAAAGCTCCACTATTTAATTTTTAAAATTATAGACGGGCTTAACAACAGACTCCACGTGGCATAAGAAGGAAATAGTGAGACTGAAGAGCAATCCATAGAAATTACCCAATTTAAAGAAAAGAGAAATAAAAGAATTTACCTGTTTATTGTCAGAATGCAGAGTGACAGAATTACCTATACCACAACATCCCCCTCACTGTTTTCTTGATAACAAAATCTGTATTTTATATTTAACAACAAGGTAGCAACATGCTCAAGAATTGAGACCAGAGGAAACCTGATTATTTCAGACTAATATGGTAACCTCATCTCCCCTTTGCCACTGATGTGACAGAACTGGGCATATGACCCAGTTTGGGAAAATTAAAATGAGTCTAAAATAGGACTTTTGAGAAGGTTCCTCCCCCTTAAAGAGGGAAATAAACAGGGACATGAGTCATTTTTCCTTCTTTTTGAAAACTTAAGTTTTAGGATGAATTGAATATGATGTCTGGAGTCTTCAGCACGCTGATAATAGCTGAGAAAAACCTGGTGCACTCGATAACTTTTATGAACCTTGAGACATCAAACCTATGGACTTCTTGTTATGTGAGATAATAAATACTTCACTGTATAAGACACTTTGAAGTTGTGATTTGTCTAAGTGGCATCCAAAGGATTCCAAGATGATAGCAAAGCTAACCACACCTTCTTACCAGAAATTTCCGATTCTCACAAGCAAATATGGTAACAACTTCTTCCATGACCCACAGGAAACATGTCTTGTTTTGAATTGAATCCTCCCAGTGAACTGTTTCCAAGCATAATTATTAAAGCATCCTCTTTTATCATAAGTTGTGCCTGAGTTTGGAAGAAAATTTTTGAATCTCATATCTATTTGATTTTAACCCTTTTGATAGTTTTATTTTATATTGTTTTCTGTTTGTCTATGTTGTTGTTGTTGTTATGTGCCGTCAAGTTGGATCCAACTCATAGCGACCCCTCCTTGGGTTTCTGAGGCAGTATCACTATGGAAGTAGATTGCCCCATCTTCCTTCCGAGGAGTGGCTGGTGGGTTTGAACCACCAGCCTTCTGGTTAGCAGTCAAGTCCCTTAGACACTACGCTACCAAAGCTCCCGTTTGTCTGTGTTCCCTACTAAACAGTAAACTTTTAAAGAGTGAGGACTTCACCTATTTTCATCTTTGTGTATCTCCCACAACACTAGGTGAACTTACATGGGATCAAAATTTAACAAAGGGCCTGGCACATACTTGATTCTTAAAAAATGGATAGAACTGAAATAACGAAATAATTACACATGCCATTTAATTGAAGTGAAACTGATTGTTCCTCTTTACAAATTATGAGTCCCATTCCCTTGTTTTATAGTGTATTTAATGCAGATGAGTTAAAGCGTCAATGCTAAAATGAATGTTCTCCTAACTAACGCCTTCAAAATTCTAGAGGTGTTCATGTAATATAAATATGGAGGGATTTAACTCTTATGACCTGGAAGAGGCACAGCAGAGTCAGAGAGACAGACAGTTGACGGGGGTAAGTGGAGTTAGGGGAGGAAGCTGGGAATTCCCTGAAATTGATTTCCATACCTTTGGTCACCTTCACCCACCAAGAAAAAAAAATGTACCTCACACTTAGTTACCATTCTACAAAAAAAGGAAATTATGAAAATTTCCAACACTGAGATTTGGTTTTTACTCATGGGAAATTGTAAAGAGAATCTCTGTTTCCTGCCTTCCAATACTGCCATTATCCTCAAAAAAGAAGAGAGAGAGAAAGGAGCATGGCAGGAAGGGAGGGAGGGAGGGAGGGAGGAAAAGAGGGAGACAGAGAAAGAGAGAGAGAGAGAGAATGGGAAAGTTGCCAAGAATCCAACAGGAAACAACATCACTTCCACTTGTGGCATTATTTTTTTCCTGTTTTCCTATTTAAAAATGTTGTTGTTGTTGTTATGTG